GGGGGGGAAGCTAAAAAACGTTGGGCCAACCTCTGAACTCTTTCGCTTTCAACAATCGTTTTAAAGCCTAAAGCCAGAGACAGTTTCAAGCTACACAGTGAGTGGATTTGCAGAATCTAAACGTAAGTTTCCTTAAGTTTCTCTGGATGGATGAAACACACGCCTCCAACACGACCTTGGAGTATAGGTGAAGAGTCTTGAAAACTAACAGACATCCACGCTCAAGAACGTCCCGCTACGGATTCGAACCAGGATCATCCGCCCCAAAAATAGTGAAACAGTATATATTTATATTAGTAAGTGTTTTACGACGCTCGCAACTGAAATGGTATAGGTATCAGCACTATTAGGTTATTTAAGAGGCGGGACCTCCGAAGGTAATGTCTATTCTTGAAAGTACCGAGCCAAAATGGGAAATTCGTGTAAAATGCCTTTCCCAAGGGCACAATGTCGTTCGTTAATGAGGATCGAACCCTCGAGCCCGCAATATCACGATTACAGTTCCCGTAGCTAAACCATTATCCGCACCGCAGTCAGCATGATCATGATGCAAACCGAGTCATCTGCACTTCATGTATTGAGTTTAGAGCTCGTCTCAACGCTGGGGTGTTTATTTAAGAAGTGAGACCTCCAATGTTCCCACAGGATCAAGCTAAGATGGGATTGAACCTTATAAAATGCAAAGTACTTAAAACAACTGTAGTTCAGCTTACTTTCCACTAATCTAGTGGGGCATACTTTAACAACACACTAAACGATGTTTTGGTGATGATCCCTTCAGTCCCGAGGTGTGGCATGGGTGGTCTAGTGGTCAGACTACCGGATTCGTAATCGTGAGACTACAGGTTTCGGGATTTCACTCAGGCTTACCTCGGTCCTACGCTCTATCCATAATAAAGGCTTTTTACACCAGCCTCTTCGTTTCGCTTGTTCCTATCGTAGATATAAATCAAATTCAGGGTGTCCCACCTCTTAAATAATGTTACAGTGTACAAGGAGAGTTACACTTATACATTTTCACATATTATTTCAGTTCCGAGTGTCCTTGATTTACATATAACAATATCCTATTAAAAACAACCCAGACGTCGACAGACTAAGTGTCACTCTCGAGCTAAATATGTGTGAATTGTTCTGAGCACCAAACTGAAGTGCTTTTTTAAAGAACGAATTGACCGTGTATCCGTTAATATATAATCACTTGAAGAAAGGTTGAAACGCAATCTAACTTTCAAGCAGTGAGGCAAATGTTATGTTGCACAACTGTATCTCCAATTTTAGATTTTGATGTAAATCATTTTAAAAGCACGCAATTCTTGTTGCAGAAACGGGAGTAAGTATGCATTGAAACTGAGTCGCTAAGGAGCACAGTTACAGATATTAACATTTATTTTTGTGGGCTCAGAGGGAAGATTTTCCAACAGCCTTAAAAAAACCTCCCAAAAGCTGGAAATTGGAGCTGTACACGACGGCACTCATTTCCCAAAATATATTTATTTAGTTTGAAGCATCAAAAACTGAAACTTAAGCCTTGTTCTTATTTTATTTTTGTGTTTCGCTGTATCTCCTTTCACAAAACCTGCCGTTCTTCAGAGACTGCTTGGAGTAATTAAAGAATTTAAAGAATTGTTTAGCCGGAAACGCTTTAGTCGTCGACCATTTGAGTTGTCTTCGAGGGTACCCACATTAGATTCTGTAATAATTTTATGTGTCACGGCTGAGTGGAATCGGGCGCTAGTTAGCTTCTGGACATGTGGAAATTTTGGTAACATTTATAATCTTGTTTATTTTGTCTTGCTTTCGGTGTAAAAATATTTATCTATCAAGAGTAGAAGTCAAGATATTAGCGATTGAAGGAGGTGGGGGGGGGGGGGAGTCGCCTGATTTCAGAGGTAGAATTAGCGAGAAAATGGCCGACAAGTTTTGGCGACTTACAAAGCTTGAGAGTCCTTAGAAACTGCAAATTTACAATTGCTTTTTATTTTTTATTTGGGGGGGGGGGGCTTTAAAACGAATATTTTTCAGTAAAACCCATATAGAAATATGTTTTAAATTGGACCTTTAAAGTGTTGAGCCAAAAATAAAATTCGATAGCAATTGTCACCAAAAAAAAAAGCTAGTTTCTTCGATTTCATTCTTTTGACAAGCGCAAGTTATCACCACGATACCTCACATACGTGTACGTGGGTTCTTGTGCTCTTGTCGGGAGCGCTGCTCTTTAGAAAATGTTCAGACTTACGCTGTAATACTGTAATGTTGACAACATAACTCAGCTGCTCCGAGTGCCTGATTAAAATGAAAAGTTGTTCCCGCCTCCGATCCGGACATTGGGGATTGCCTTGCTATTGAGACAACTTCCTGGGCCTTCGGCATAGTGTGTGGTTGGGTGGCCAGTTCCCTTCCACTCTGCCTTTACTTCCCCAACTCGAAGTCAGGTACCCATTACTGCGGGGTGGGCAGGAGAGGGCGAAAAAAATCCGTGTCGGAACCGAGGCTCGAACCCGAACTTTCCGCTTCGGAGACGAGCGCACTAACCGCTCTGCCACAGCACCCTTGATTACAAAGCCAATTTTAAAGGTAGAATCAGAGAACTTAGTATCTATTTTTTAGGGGAAAAAACGGAGCCAAGTAGGTGCAAAATCTGGAAAACTCTCAAAACCAACCCATATACGAGTATTCTGGTAAAAATAAACGGGGCTGAGTTCATGGTCATCTTCAAAAAACTCCCCAAAACAACTCATTGGAGACCAGTATAAGTTCAGCTCTGGACTTTAGTATGATAGCAACTAAGCTTTTGGCAATCTCTTGGAGGGGTCAAAATCTAAGAGTTTTCCGTCTCAAGCTCAGGATGTAAAAGCCAGCTGTAGTCTCAGGGGCAGGGTGGGGGGGGGGGGGCTCAGAGGGTTAGCATGTCGACAAATGTCTCTGATGAGCCGTGGCTCTCTGCTAAATGACGGTGCTGTACAACTGTATATCTGGGTCATTTCTCTTGAGCCAAATTATATAATATAGAAACTCCCTACCGTTTGAATGGGAAAAAAACCTGTGTAAATTATGCAAATCTGGCTGTGTGAAATAGACTTTTCAAGAGTTTCATTTCCCATGAAAATGCGTACAGCTTTCTCTCCTGGTTTGACGACGATATCTCAGAATTAAGAACGTTATTGATAATTGACAATTCCAGTTTGTGACAGAGCATTTTTGTTAATGATATCAATATAGATGGCAGCCTGTTGGGCCTTCCACTGGAAATGTCGTTAAATCCAAACGAAGCTCCGTTCTTTTCGTACAATTTGGAGAATTTTGAATATATCTTATTGCCATATCATTGCCCAGAGCCAGTGTGGGGCTGGCATGATTAGAAGGGCAATACTCCATGAACACGAGCAATGTGATTCTTTTAATTTAGTCGGAGCCAGCCAATTTTTAATTCATTTTTGTACAGTACCGAAATGGTAGCTTTGCCCCTCCACGGAGGAAAACCTGGCTGGCCATGACTAAATCAAATGAATCAAATTGCCAGTGCTTCCTGGGTATATGATTACTTTGTCCATCCAGACTTGTACGCTCACCAGTGGGGTACGAAATGTGGTGAAATTGATTAACTACTCGTTAGCTGGAAGTTCCAATCCGGAGAGGGGTGGGTGGGACGGGGGGGGGGGGGGGGTTGTGGTGGTGGATATTAGGGATGGGTATGTATTCTCAGCGAGTCATCCTGGAGGCGTCGACAGGAGAGAGTGGATTATTGCTCCGCTTTTACAGGTACGTGCAGGCCTACTGTTTACATTTGTAATAATTATTTAAGCGTTCAACTGAATCAGTCTGTCAAACTTCCAAAGGATAGCAAGTTCAACTTCTTTTTTTTTTGTGAGTGTTTTACAGTGCTCGCAACTGCATAAGGTCATAATATGAGCGCGCAGGACACGTTAAAGGTTGCAGAAAGAATTAAGAGCCCAAAGGAGGCGGCAAAGGGGGGTCGGGTGGGGGCAGAAAGTAGACACGAAAGCAGACAACAGAACATGCTTAAAGAACAGGAAAGGAGGTGGAAGGAGAAAATCTAGGGAAGAAAATTTTCCGTGGCTCTCGGGTTTTGAACCAGAGACCTATTGAACGAGAGGTGAACACCGTAACCTTGCTCCTTGATCTTTGCATTGACCTTTGCAAAGCTCAGCCCACAATGAGAATCACGATGTCGTCCTGTTAAAGACCCTTGAGATTATATGAAAGTGAGGTGACCTCCATTGAAAACCGGTGTCTGGAGCTAAATACCTTGAGATTATACAGTATTGATTTAGCTTTCTCTCTGTGCAATGAAATCGTATGTATGCAAAGAGACCGCCATTTAAAACCGGTGTATGTAGCGTAGTGAATGGGATCTCTGTCGTTGCACATGGAAGACATGCAACAGCAAGCTCTATGCGCTTTTACACTATTTAATTACCTCAGCAGACCAAAGAACACCCAGAAACAGTCTGAGCTTCCCGTTAAGCATACAGTGCAAGCAGCTGATTAAGCCCTGAAACCCTAACAAACTGACAAGATCTTTCGCTGCCTATAGCTGGGTACCCATTCCCACCTGGGTGGAATGAGGAAAACTCGTGACACAACGTCGGGCACCTGACGGGATTCGAACCCACGCCTTACTGTTGCGCGTCCGAGATCCTAACCACTAGACCACCGACGCTTCTCTAATGGAGCCGAATAGTAGGACCAGAGAGTTTACAGTAATACTATTACTGTAAACCCTCTCTGGTAGGACTGAAAAGCCATGGAAACTACCAAACTGGTGTAGATAAGGACTCCGCTGGGTTGTCAGAAAACCAGCAGTGTTCTTTCCCCTGTGTAGCATGTGATGGTCAATTCTTTCCAGCCAACGTCTTAGTTTCCAGCAGCTTGTCTTCTTCTTCTTCTTCTTCTTCTTCTTCTTCTTCTTCTTCTTCTTCTTCTTCTTTGCGTTCCCTCGCTAGATCTCAGGGGAAGCCGACTGCCGGTTCTTCAACCTGCAATGCAACTGATATTTACGTGTGTGACTGTTTTTCGTACTTCTAAAGCCCCAGGCCATCAAGCAGCCACATTCTGATTTCGACAGTACTCTATACATGTTTGTTTTTCTACTGACTAGAGTATTTTCAGTCCTGGAAGGAATTTTGAATTTTGTGCGGTTGGCGACCGAAACCTACTCTTATCGATTTTAGAACCACCAAGGGATCTTTAATGCGCGCAACTTGCACACGTGACCTACAGGAATTTTTCGCCCTTTTTCGAGATGGCTGGGTGTTGGATGTTACCTTCCTTAAGATCAGGGGCGTATGTATAAGACAGCAATCTGTGACTAGTGATGTCTTCACTCGGTGCTGGTCCACTTATCCTTCTACTGCGACGTTTTAGTCTACTTGTCTGTTTACCGCGTATTTTCTCGCCTACTTGTTGGTCCACCGAGACGCAAAACTTTCCTACTTCTTATAAGACAACCCTAAATTATATGTGTGCATTATAGAAACGAATGTGTCCTCTTTTTTTTTTACACCCGGTATACACGAAGTATATGTATGTGTAGATAGATAGATAGATAGATAGATAGATAGATAGATAGATAGATAGATAGATAGATAGATAGACAGACAGATAGATAGATAGATAGATAGATAGATAGATAGATAGATAGATAGATAGATAGATAGATAGATATTGTGTGAGAGAGAAAGAGAAAGACAGAGAGAGAGAGAGAGAGTGTGTGTGTGTGTGTATGTGTGTGTGTGTGTGTGTGTGTGTGTGTGTGTGTGTGTGTGTGTGTGTGCGTGTATGTGTGTGTGTGTATCTGAGTGTGTGGGTGTACGTATAACATGTGTATAAGTAAGTATGCCTGTCTGTGTGTTTTGAGTATGCACGAGTTAGTATGTGTGGATGTGCCTACTTACGTGTTTATGCACGACGTCTAAAGCCAGGCTGAGGCTTTAGGACTATATCTTTCAAAATTTGATAAACATGGGTAAGACTTATGATTCAATTGGCAAGGGCAGGCGTGAACCGTCTACATAAACCAAATATTCACTGCCTCATTTCCTTATTTTGGGCGCATTGTTGCAATCAAATTCATATATAGATCATGATATACGTTGGTCTCATTAATCTAAATCTAAACGTTCACCAAAGCACCAACGAGTGGTGTGAACAACAGTCGAAACTGTTTCGCTGCCATATAAATACCGTGTATTCACACCTTTAGTTAAATTTACTGTTTAAAAATCTTGAGATCATTATTCCCACAGCACCTTTAAGAGTTGTAATTACGGTTCGCCCAAATTGTGAATAAATATTAATAATGAGATATTTTCTCGATTATTTTGGCGGCGCACATACAATAATGAATTCAAGGGTTGTTTTGTTTTGTTTTTTTGTTTTTTCTTTTTTCATTCACAACTAAGTGATATTGCCTCGAATAAGAAGTTTGGTCGACTGTGTTAAAGTCGCGGAGAGCTTTTCGTGGGTGGCCTCATCTCTCTCTGGTTCTTTGTTTCCCTTTCATTACCCTATCAAGCGAGTCAGCCTTCTCCACTGGGTATGGATGTCCGATTTGTTGGCAAAAAGAAAACATGAAACCGACGATCTTGGCCGTTTGTTATAAGTGTAAACGTATACGGGTTTAAGAACCCTATCAAAACTATTAGGTTATTTAAGAGGCGGGACCTCCGAATTTAACGTCCAACTATGATGAGCCCAACCTAAATGGGCTGAGAGCCTTGAAAACTCCACAAAACGACCTAAGCTCAAAAACGCCAAATTAAGAAATCGAACCAGGGCCATCCCTGACGGAGTATCTTTTTTGTAATAGAATGTGGGAAAGATTTTTAGAAGCAATAACAATCAAAACACGGAAAAATGGAGGGGCCTGGCTGCCAAGACACTGGTTGCGACCCAACGGTCGATGACTGTGAACTGGATAAGAGAAAGCTTGTAAAATTATAATTGTAAAGGTTTTCCCCCAGCGTCAACATTATTTAGATCATTTGGGAAGCAGGCACATTTGACCACACCTGTATTGTTCGACCCGAGCTGAGAGGGATACAACATCCTAGTAGAAAGACGGAGATACTCTATAAGAATTCTCCCAACTCAGGAATCGAACTCGCGTCCCTGCGTGCGACCGCAAAACGACTGACCACAACTCCACAGACCCCATTGTACATGTGCAAGTAAGTACAAAGTTATAACAGTTGGAGCAAACATAGGAAGTCCGTTCGCAAACACTTATAATAAAAAAAATATGAACCCACGTTGCTTTAACTTGTAGCTAAGTATTTTTTATTTTATTTTATAAACCTTTGACGCTTCAAACAATAAAGACTCAAAAATAGTTTCTTTCATTTCGGCATAATATAATTGAGAATGGCTTTTAAAAATACATTATTTGCAGTGAGGTTATGGGTACAGACTGTAGAGAACAGAAGACGAGTATATATTGTAGTGTCCAGTCAGACAATAGGGGCTAGTTGATGTCCAAAAATCAAAGAGAATCGATTTCGGGAGCAATCGGCACCACATTCCACTCGTTGAACTTTTCAATTCTGAAAACGTCGTGTCGCGAACACACATGCCCCCTGAAAACGGTTTCCCCCTTTTCATGCGACCGTCACGGCAACCTTGATGTCATCTGCACTAGAAGACGTTAGCCTGACGTAGACTGTATCCAGGTCGCTCTCGACGTCCACGGAACCCGATCCGGAGACAAAAACGTCTTCCGCACGAGATTCTGTGGCCACTTCCATATGTACAGTTGAGAGATCCGCTGCCTCGGCTGTAACAGACACCCTTCCACCGCTCTTGTTCTCCACTGCCAGAATGGGATTGCGGCTCGCTGATACCAGGACCTCACTTCTCGTCTCGCCAGATTTGATGACAGTGGACACTGCGTCATGGTCGCACAAGAACAAATATATCCCGACCTTCCTAAAGGCTCGACGGACCATTTCATGGTCAAAGCCGTTATCGTAGCACATCTGCATCACGCAGCAGGCCCCGGACCAGAACCGAGTTGACTGACCCCAGCACTCAAGGTTGGCATCGAGGAAGCACTTGTATGCGTCGTAGATGGGCATGCCTTCGACAGCAACGAGCTGATAAAAAGCATGGTTGAAGACGCCACTTGAGAAGTGAACGTCCATTCCGATACGGTAATCTCGCACATGCTTGATGGAAACACCGTCATCCGGTGGATTGATAAAGTATCGCAGAGACCTGTCTTCGTCTTTAAAGAGTTCATATCCAACCAACCAGTCGTTAGAACCACGATTAAACATGTCACCAATCTCTCCAGAGATGTCAGAGAAGGCTTCATTGATACCGCCTGGTTGTAACGCATACACCAGGTCGCTGTTTCTGGTCGTAATACCGTGAGCAAGCTCATGCGTGACGACATCCTGGTTGACAAGAGGATAAAACGTTCTGCAACCGTCCCCAAAATACATATCTGTGCCGTCCCAAAATGCGTTATCAAAGCAAGAGTCAAAGTGAACTACAAGGCGAGGTGCGTAGGGTAGCGCCCTCATGTCGTACTTTTCTTCATAGAGCAATCCAGTTTTGGTCCCATAGAAGAGAGCGTCTGAGGCAACGCCAAAAGCTTGGTTAACACCATCGTCGTATCCTTCATCACAGGTGAAACTAACAGGTGTTGTTCTGTCCCTTTCAGTGGTCTGTTCGTTGTCTATAACAACTGCAAACTCGTTTCTCATGGTGCATGTGTCACCAGATTTCTCCGTGGCCAAGCAGAGCCCATTCTGATTGTAAGTTATTTTGCCCGTCTTCGGGTTCCCCCCGACTCCAGCAGCGCTCGGGTCGCATTCGGATGGCTCAGGACACGGGTCGTCTTGTCTCACCTCACGCCCGAGACTTACGTTCTTGACCTGGTCAAAGTGGAGGAGCACCGAACTGTTGCAAGCATCGATGAAGTATGCCGGCCGGCTGACTACGCGCTGGTTGGCGTAGAAAAACTCCACGCGATATGCCAGTGAAGCCATGAGGCTGTCTGGATCAACGTACACCAGTCGGCGACCGTCTTTCCTTTCAATATGAGGATCGTTGATGTCGTAGTTCTCTGCTCTTATCGCGATCTCCAGTACCTCTGAAATAGGCCTCTGACATGCATCCGGGTCAGGAATATCGTTTTGCAGACCAAACGCAACGTGTCCGAAAACATTCCCTGTGAGATCCCCGGTGGCCAAGTCTGTTTCGGCCATCGCCGTTGCACCAAATACATCTAGCCCACCGTATGTCTCCACGAGTCGGCGTCTGCCCACTCCCTTCGCGCTCCGGAACATGTTGTCGTTGGCGTTTCTGAACCCAGTGCCAGCGTCCATGTTTGTGGAACTCGCCAGGCTAGACAGTGTGACCTGTGACTTCCTCTGCTGAAGGGAACCTCGCAATATTTTGATCTTTTCAACCCGGGCTCCTTCAACTATGACAATAATTGCTAAAGCCGCAACGGTAAACACAGCACACCTCATAGTGGCAGTGAGTGCAAATCCTTGCGTTGCCCAAAAAGACACTTAGGTAAGGTCCATGGAAAGAGACAGGACGCGTGTATTTATATATACCATCATCCCAAATTGTAAACATCTCTTCATTTACTGCTCTATTCCACCACCGGATCTAAGGACACATGAAGCTGAATTAAAAGCGATCAGCCTTTTCTATTCCTAATCTCTAATGAAAATCCACCTGAGTCTCCAAGGCCAAGCTCCTTCCGGTCAGACGTATTGTCTTTCTGCAGCTATCGTTGCCCTGAAAGGTGATTATCACCTCAAGGACAACAATTATCACTTTTGAGAAGTTTTCATTGCCGGGAAAGGAAGTACACTAATTACATTTGTTGAAAAAACCATTATTGGGAACGCTCAACAACGTCTTGGTCACCAGTTGGTCATTAAACAGACAATGCACCAATGCAAACAGGAAGCGATCAAAAGATGGCCGCGGGTGCCAATTCAATTGTCCAATTAATACAGCTTGATAGATACCATTGAGACTATTCTTTGCAAAATTGCCAGGATGTTTCTTATCGAAACAAAAACCCAACATAATATCTGCTCACATATATAGTAAAAACAGTGTGGCGGTAAAGATGGTAGTGCTGATCCCCACGGGTGATCTCCAAGGTAGGGTGTGGGGGTGGGGGGGGGGGGCAAGTTTTACTCGGAGATAAAGAGTGGTGGTTATTCCTTCGAACGCACTACGCGTTTCATGCAGCTTTTTTTGTCTTGCGAGGAGCTTATTTGATTTGATTTAGTATAGAGGAGCGCGGCTACACGAAGGAAGCCACTTTGAGGAGGAAAAAAGGAAAATATTCAAACAGAAACTGCAGACGGAGAGAGGAAGAAGAAGCTACCGATGGCGCCCTCCAATCGCCCGCTTGAGAAATAAATGCAGTCCGTACACTTTATTAATTAACCAATTAAGCCCCTTCCGTTCTTCATATTACGTAAGTCATTGTGCTGTATGCTGAAATATATTAATTATTATCCCCAGTGGTCAGAATATCGATCATTGGAATCGATATAAATCTATGTAGGCGCACCAGTTGATATTATTCATGCTACGGCGCAGCGGTGAAAGTGTTTATTGCTGTGTGGATCGGAAACTTGGCAATTTACAAAGCAGATCGTAAACATATGAAAATCCGTCACCAATGGTTGTCTGAGGAAGATCGTGAAAATCCACTGACCAGACACCATCAGAAATGTATTATGGAGGCAACCAAACAACAACCAATTGACCGTAAGAGAAAAAAAAGATAGCTATGTGGACTCACACACGGGAAGCCAGCCTATAACGTGACGCGACAAAGCCATAACCGAAACTCCCAGGGGAAAGAGAAAGGGAGGAAGGCCGAGGTCCACTTGGGAGAGATACCTAGACACAGACATCAGAAATATGGGACACAGTTGGCTGGAGGTGGAGAAGATCGCTCAGAAAAATGAGATATATGGAGAGCTCTCCTTGGCGGCCTATACCCAACGCCAGGGTAAAAGAGGGGAATGATGAATGCTGATTTAACTCACTTTTGTTTTCTTTCTTTTTTTTCTTTTTTTTTTTGGAGGAGGGGGGGGGGTAAGTAAAAAGTAAATCAAAGAATGTTTCTTTTAAGAAAATTAAGAAGTTTCCCTGTTGATAATAAGATTATGTCCCTTTTATACCATTCTATGATCTGAATGAAAGCGTGCTATCATTTTGTATTTGCTGCTGGGCAGGGAATTGTAAGGTGAAAGATAAAGAAAAATTTGACAGAACCATCAGGAAAGCCAGCAAGATCTCTGGATATGATTTTACTAGAATTGATGAAATGTATGACACCACAAGTATAAAAAAGAAAAAAATCATTTTGAACGACCTATCACACCCCCTTTCCACGCAAATTGTCAGATCATGCAGCGGCAGATACGTACCTCTAAAAACAAAAAAAGAAAGATATGAAAGAAGTTGTTTTTTTCCCATCTAGCATAAAGGTATTGTCAGAATAAGCATAAATGTGTATTGCTCTTTAGAGTATGTATCTGTATAATTCCAAAGGTCTTGTACTTAAATTCCTGCATGTTGTTGAATGATGCATCCGATGTGATGTGTACATTTTGTCAATTTTACTCCTCTTTTCATATTGAATTTTAATGAGAGTTATATAATTTTTTAATGTATACCTGCATACGTTTTTACCGTCCTGTACAGCCCAAAAACATTTCCCTCTGGGATAATAAAGTATTGTCTTATCTTATTTTATCTTTAGTGTTTTACGGCGCTAGCAAACTGTATAAAGTCATGTGAGCGCTCCGGACACATTAAGTATTTTCAGTTTGGTAGGAATTGATTTTGAATTTTGCCCGGGTAACGGCTGAAGCTCACTGTTATCGATTTTAGGACCTCTAAGGGATCTTTAAGGTGCACACGGGACATTTGAGATTTTTCGCCCTTATCCGAGAAGGCTAGGTATTAGATCTTACCCACCCTAAGATCAGGGGTGCTGCTCAAAGACAACATTGAGAAAGGAGCCAAGGAATAGCAGAAGAAAGGCAGCAGAAAGAGTCAGGACCTCAGAAGAGGGAGCAAAAGGAGAGGGGGAGGGAGCAGGAAGTGGGGGTGAACGCAAACGACAGAACATGATTAGATGGGAGGAAAGGTGAAAGGAGAAACTTTTTCTGAGAAGAGACTTGTCTGCTCCTTTCAGGTTTCGAACCTCCGACCTATTTAATGAAAGACCTACACCGTATCTCAAGACCACGAGATCCCACGCCCACCCAGGTCGTTCGACGACGCTTCAAGACGCGCTGTTTTAAGACACTTTAACAAATAGAAGCATAACTTCGCTGTCCCAACAAATTCTTCTGTTGTATTCTTTTTATCCAAGATCTAAAAAAGACAGGTAACAATTGAGTACTATGAAAATATCATACGCCATGGTGTGTTTCTGGCGTATGTCATGGTGGTTCGAAATGGGCTGCCGTATTGCTCTTGGTCCTCTGCAGGCCTTGTGCCTATTTTTTTTAAAGGTGTGAGTGTCGTGAGGTTGGGGGGGGGGGTATTTCTACTGAGCTGAAAAGCATCCATATCAAAAAGACGTTTCAATGGAATTTATTTCAAGTAATGTATTTTCGCCGTAGGAGCCCTCTGAGACATTATTTGATATAAACGCGAGTATCCTTATACTCATCTATCTATGGCCATATACAGTTGTCAAACAATATAACGTTTAGTCGAGGAGAGCACATTCTTTTCAAAAATCTTTTTTGGGAAAGTGGGATTGGCATTTTAAAAGCTGTCGACTGCGCTTCTCAATCTACCAGAGCCGTCAAGAAAAAATAGTAACACATAAGTGGGCAATAGTTCTTTGCTCAAAGGGAAAGAAATCGGACTCTTCAACTGGTAAGATTTCTGACAGCGGCAGATGGACGGATGGACGGACGGACGGACGGACGGACAGATAGGGAGACAGACAGAGCGCCAGACAGACAGACAGATAGACAGACAGATAGATAGGCATGCTGGCAGGCAGGCTGGCAGATAGACAGACAGAGAAATAATCCTTTTCCTCTTGCTATGTTACTTACAGAGAAACCTTTGGCTGAGCCAGAGAAGAACGCGTTCCACGGATCGTAATTTCCATCCAGCGTGTGATGCGTCAGCCAGTTGATGCACCCAGCTATCGTTTCCCTGACATTTTCGGGGACATCTGTTGAAATAATAAAGATAATTAGATTTGGGTTATAGATACGTACATACTTACATATTGACATGTCTAAACACTCTAATTATTATTATTTATTTATTTTAAATTAAAGTGTTTTTTTCTTAAGTAATTATATAAATGTATATACGAAGAATAGACCTGAATAGACATAAGGGTCTTGAACATCTAGCTATCACAGGCAAAATTGAGGGCAAGCGAGGCAGGGGTAGGCCCAGAACAACATACTTAGGAAACCTAAACAAATTGGTAACAGGGAAACGTAGCTTTTTTTTGTTAGAGCATCCGAGCAAAGGAATGAATGGAGAATCATGATCGCAGATGTCTGTCGCAGATCTGGCACTGCATGATGATGACGATATACGAAGAATACCCGGCCCAATACACAATATTATATCAAGGAAGACAATTTTTAAAATATGCCATTGCTGGTCGTCTCTGAATGAATCATACGGGCGTGGTTGTTTTAGAGGGGGGGGGGGTGGGGTGGGGAGTGGGGGGGGGGGTCAGAGACATTTTGCCTTCTATTGAAAACTAGTGTAGATAGCGCGTACACCGCTAATAATATAGAGCAGGCAGCAGAGGTTTAAAGATAGGAGAAAGCAGTATGGAATGAGGGGGTACCTATGGTGGAAAGTCCATAATTTTTAATATTGGACAGCGTCGAGAGAGTAGACAGTCGTGAATAAATTTCCCGTAAGACAACTAGGAAAATCTTGCGACAGGAATTCACCTGGGTTTGATGTTTAGTTTTAGTAAGAAAGTTTAACGATACTTGCAACACAAATAGGCGATTTAAGTGCCGAGGATTAGAAGTGTGACTAGAGAGTAACATTACATATAAAAAAGAAGGAGAAGAGATAGTTTTAGTAAGTGTTTAACGGCACTTACAACACAATAAAGTCATATAACCGTGGCGTCGGTGGCCTAGTGGTTAGGCTACCGGACTCGTAATCGTGAGGTTTCGGGGTCGGGGTTCGAGCCGCGGGCTCGACGTTGTGTTCTTGGGAAAGGCACTTTACACGAATTTTCCTCACTTCACCCAGGTGGAAATGGGTACACCCGGCCATAGACAGCGAAAGATCTTGTCAGTATGTTAGTGTTTTAGCGCCTATAAATGGCTGCTTGCACTGTATGTTTCCCAGGAAGTTGAGTTTGTTTCAGAATGCTCTCAGGTCTGCCGGGGTGATAGTATAGATTGTGAAGCGCATAGAGCTTGCTGTTGATCGGGGATTTGCGCTATATAAATGCTATCTATTATCTATTATATAACTATAAGTGCCAAAGATTTATGGTGTTACAAGAGAGTAACAGACACAAAAAAGAAGGAGGGGGAATAAAGACGATAGATGTTTGATAGGAAAGAAGAAGCAAACCACATAAGAGTATGCGCCAAACCACCTATAGGAGAAGAGATGAGGGTGATGGGTGTTTGATAGGAAAGAAGTAATAAACTGCACTAGAGTACGCGCCAACCACCTACAAAGATATGCGGTGATTCACCATGGGAGTTCATACAAATTTAATGTTCCTTTCCCTTCTAAAAATAGAATCCTTTAAAGGGGAGGTGCTACTGAAATTTGTATCTTTCGAGATTCTCAATAAATACACAACGTTTTGTCTTATCATTGTGCTCAGTATATCCATAAGAAGATGTTAGAGATTTGAGTGGGATTAAATAATCATTCATCGTCACCTGAGAGGTACATTTTGTACCATTTACGTTAACACTGAGGACATTGACAACCCCAAAATGGATTTTTTGTCCATTTTATAAATTAACATTTTTTAAAAAGTTCTTTGTTATCTGATAGATCATCAGCTACTACCTAACACAACTTTTGCCAATAGGAAAACTACGTGTTTTTTGTGTGGGGGAATTGTTTTGTTTCGTTTTGTTCTTATTGTTGTTTTGTTTGTTTGTTTGTTTGTTTGTTTGTTTGTTTGTTTGTTTGCTGTTGTTGTTTTTTGTTTGTTTGCTGATGCTTTTTCTGTTTTGTTGTTGTTGGCTGTTTGGGAGGGGTTGTTGTTGTTTGTTT